ATTCATCCAATATTTGAAGAGTGTAAATTAAAGATAAATGTTATATGCTGCCCCTACTTTTTAGCCGAAACACTTACTTATTCAACATTTCTCTTGGCATTGTTTTATGGCATTTTCATACTTGGCAGGTAGTGGTCAGATATATTATAATATTTATAAAGACACGACATTTCTACACCTGTGTTGACACAGTCATGAACAGAAGCAAAGTAATAAGTGGAACAATCCTGTAAAATTTGAAATACATTTTTCAGATTTCGATTTACTGCAGCAAGTCTGAAAATTCACCTCCAATTTACAGATAGTTTCAATTTTCACCATAATAAATCACTTCAGTCTTGTCTCCACAATGTCTTACACATTTGAACATGGAAACTAAAATCATATGTGATCTTGGTACCAGCAACTTCAAACGTTTTTTGAAAAGAAATAAAGCCTTTCATGGAGCAGATGCTCACATGTTATCCATTTAATTCAGCACTACAGAATAATCCCAGGTTACCAGCAGTTAATGCTATCATGTGTTTTTCATTTTAGGCCTGCTTGGCATTTCCTAAAATAAGGGTTTATTTTAATATTATAATTCATGAAATATAATTATTTAAAAAATTAGATTTGATTTGTTTAGGTTATGATAAAAACTATAACAAAATTGTTTAAATGGTTTTCAAATTGCACTTCAACTGTTATTTTTCCAACCAAAATGTAATATTTTCTTTCACAGTAGATCATCATTTTAACTTTCATGTGTCATATCTTTTTTACTGTTATGGATAGCAAAGGATAGAGGGATAAGACTTTATTGATCCTGAAGGGAAATTGATGTGTTACAGCGGTCCATCCCAAGACAAGCAAAAAAAAAACAGACATCAGAATAGACGAAAAATTAGAATACGTACAGTAATACAAAATAAAATAAATAAAAATAAATACATAGGTGTGAGCAAAATATGATCATAGTCACTGTAAAAACAATAAAATATGTGCAAAATGTGCATAGGTATATACAGATTGAGTGTCCAAAAAGTACAATGGAGCAACATGCTGTCCATAGACGAGCAAATGAAGGGCTAACAGTACTAGCCCAGGGCAGCGTTATACAGCCGCATGGAGGAAAGACCTGTGGAAACTTGAACACCGTAAATGGCGTGTTTCACAGACAGAAAATGAAAAACTTAAATGATGCCTGTAACGTTGGATTGACTATTGAATTAGGCTTCCTGGATCTCATTAGCACATTGTTGTCTTAAGTCTTCTATTTTAGAGGAATACTGAAAAAAATGTTGTAGTCCAATCATTAAAAAAATGATTTTGGGACACTTTTTCTCTTCACCCGTGCATTAAGAAAATACGTGAATAAAAGAAGACCACATCATACATAATTTTAGTAATTCTGAATAATCACCTCTGCAATTAATACATCACAAAACAGGGACGTCAAAGTTGTAAATGACTGGGGAAGCATCTCCCTCTTCAAAACCACAGAACTCTGAATATACCAGTTCATATTATAAGTTACCACAGCAGTCTGGCAACATCACATGATTATAAGCCACCATACTCTATACAATGTTGGTTCATACTGTGTCTTATGACAGCAAACCACTGCACTCAGATCAAGTTGTGGGTTGGCACACTGGGCCAAATGTATCCTAATCTAATCCCAATGGAGCTGGGTCATTTGAAGGACTGAGAGATCAGATTTTTCCTTTGTCCATCAGACAGAGAGTAAAAATGGTGTCTAAGGAATCTCGATATGTGCATTCAAATGCATTAAACCCATGTGACTTGCAGCCTTGCAGTGTCATTAATGGGAAGGGGTGCAGTCATCACTGACTCGCCTGTAAAGCACCGGAGAGCCTGCGGCAGGCCAAGGATGAATGATTCCAAGGAAGTCCTATCAGAACAGCACGTCTGCAGGACCTGATTCTGAACATGAAGTGCAGGAGTTGTCACCTTGAGCAAAGCCTTACAGCACTGGCAATATCAACTGAGGAGGTAATAAAAAGCCACTGCCAATTCCAATTTGTTATTTCAATCCCAATTCCAGTTAAAAAGTGCAATATAAATTGACTACCAGATTGATGGTAGGCTCTGCACACTCTGGATGACAAGGCATGATAACTCAATTACTGTATATCCCTCATGCTAATCCATCCTTAAGATGCTTGTTATATGCTCTGTGATTCTTGGAGAAGTAAAAACAGACGACTGGAGGAGCCAGGCACAGAGCTGCAGCCTCAGATATTAATATCTGATACTTGGCCCTTCTAATGCAATAGTTGGTAAATTATGGCCTTCCACAGCAATTGATTCACTCGCTTGCAGTTCACAGTCTCATCTTGTGTTTTTCAGCAGATGTGGGGCTTCAAATCTTAGACCTTTCTAAGTAAAATACCTGTGATCTCAGGCAACGTAAATTAAAGACAGAAATGTGAAATAGGCCCCTGGGAACATAAGAGAAAATTCCGCAGCAGGGGTATGTACTAGAATCTGAGAATAAAAAAAGAGAGCTCCTGATACATGTCCATCATTTGGAGAGCAGCACGTACAGCTAAACATAATCCACCTCTCAAAGGATTTTGATCTTCTGTGATCAAAAGTGAAAGAATCGGCTTGGGTTTAACAGTGGGTCAAGCTGATGCTCTTTTTGCCAAAACCTATTTGGAAAACATGCTATATTACTTCAATATACTCCATAACGTATATTCGTATATTACAATTATAAAGATGAAGTATAGAGAGTACATACTGTACCCTGTGTAGTAATACTTAATGTATGTACTATCTATAAGCAGTAGACACTAGTAAAGATGTTAAAAACAGGTCTAAAAAGGTTTGCTAACTCCTAACCCTAGACTTAGAGATAGTGATAAGATTAGGAGTATGGTTTATGCTAACTTTAGAAATTAGTTACTAACACCCAATCGGTGTCAGAAGAAGTTATCATAATTTTTGTTGCTCTATAATTAAGTGTATTTATAAATGTACTTTGCAAGACCCCAAAGTGTAACATGGTACACAGGAATGCACTTGGTCAGCTTTCACTTAAATGTTAACATATTCCATATTGCAATTTAATTCTTAATATATTCTAAGAAACATTTCTTCTCGTTCAGTGCTTTTTGTTTAGTCTTTCTTGTCAGCCATAGTGATTAGAACTATTTAAAGCCAAGGTTTTTTTTTTGTACCAACACACTGTGCGATTTATTCAGCTCACTATTCACCACAGTTCCACACTGTGGAATTCAGAGATTTCAGTTTCAGCCCAGGTGCATCACCTTCTCAGCTAGGATCCTTCAGAGGACTATAATTCAGAGTGGGGCTATGCCTGAGACAGACATTGCTGTGGGTTTTCTTGTGCTGTCATTTCGTGTTTCGTCTCACTAGCTTATCCATTTAAAAGCACAAGATTACATATTTCACTAATCCCACTGGATAAAGGACAAGAAACTTCATCACAAAAAGCCTGCTAATGGACAATACTTTGTCAAGAAAAACAAAAGGATAAATACGTCACTAAGGACATGCTTCAAATATCTATACAACTGTCTTTTGCAGTAAATCAAAGGCTTCCCTCATGACCTGAAAGGTCACCCCCGCAGGAATTTTCTGAATCCTGTTTTGCAATCGAAGCTTGGAGCCAAAATGTTATTAAAAATTAGCACTGCCTAAGAAAAACAAAATATTCACACCTGTGTGTCCATCTGTGAGGCGTGTTAAATGATAGAAAAAAATGTCTGCTTACTCCACATGGACTATTTTTTGTCTGTGAAGCTAATCAAAAGAAACGCCTTCTACGCCTCTTTGAACTGGGATTGTGAAACCCAGAAAATTGCACTGCTGAAAGGGACCGCTAGAGTATGCGATAAATTGTCACCTCTTTTTATTAGGTGATAAATGTGCATGTCTATTCAGTGTTTTCGACCCCGCAGTTACACTTACACAATGCCACCACCTAAATGTGTTACAAATTTAACATGCGGACTCCATGCTCTGCTGTTCTCCACTTACAAGGAAGTGGAACAACACAATCTGCCCAGAGGGCACCGTCCTGCATCTCAAGCAAACAGACCTTTGTTTTAGCCAAGTCCATTTACAGAACGAATGAAAAAATATGAAAAGTCACTCGTAAACAAATTTCATTATCATTTAAAGAACCACTGATTAATCAAATAGTCTTGCACACATGCAGGTTCAGACACATCCGTGAACTGGCATGAACATCGAATGAAGGCACACACGTAATGAACAAAAAAATCGGTAGGACAAAGAAAATCACGATAAACCGGTCAAACCGGCAGCAATTGAGGAAGAAACTACATAATTGGATAAACTACCATACCATACATACCACAAATAACTAGTATGTAGCTTTTATTGAATGCACAGCTTTGAAACGGAACAATGTTTTAATCTTTTTAAAGAACTCCCCAGAGGCGCTTGAAACAAAATATGATTTTGCTTCATTAGTTTTCACCTAGGACTTCTTTGGGAGGTATCGACATCATCATTTATACTCTTCATTGACTATTAACTGCTGCTTGTTCAGACTAGCTAAGGGAGAGTTAGATGACAGCAAATGAAATTGCTGCATTTCAACAGCACGAAAATCAGATAAATGATTCACATTTATGTAAAATAAACTAATCCTGTTTTGTATCTAATCCGTGTCACAATTATTTAGTTGTTTGGTTTACTGTCCCGCACCACGTACGAGAGTATTTCGCCACCGTAATAGTCACAATCAGACGAGATGTAACTACAAACCATAAGGAGAGAATACACTCTAAAACAATAAGATAGCAGAGAATACAAATTATTTAAGAAAAACGCAATACATGTTTTTCCAAGTAACCAAGGAGTGGATAACGTTAAAATGAAGGTTTAGTTTTTATGTTTTTTTTTTTTATCTCCAACATGTTTCCGCTTTCAGTTAACTTTGGTGCACTACTAACACGATTAAACTCGGGAAGCAACTGAACATGCTTTCAACTCACTCTGGTGTGTTGATCCAGATGATGTCCAGATGACAGTAATAGACGCATTCCTTGTCTTTGTAAGTGTAACATGTGCAGCGCTTGGACCTTCTCCGTGGTTTTGACTTCGCACATATCGCGCCCTCGGCTTCCCCGCTACCTTGGCCAGGTGCGCTCCTGACGGAGACCGCGGAGCTCCAGCTAGGTCCCACGGTGGAACCTGTAGCCCCTACATCCAGGCGTGCCGCCTCAGGGTCAGTCCGTAGTGACAAATTCACTTCGCTGGGTTCGGTTTTGAGAGGCGCAGAACCTTCAATTGCACCAGTAAAAAAAGATTAGTCAAATACATTTTAAACAAATTAGTCTGTCAAATATGTACTGTAGGTATCTCATTTGATACCGTTTGCCATTTGAAATGTGGCTAATATATTCAACAAAATATATGCACTCAGCGCAGCGCTCATAATTAAGAACGAAATCATAATCTAGGATTGTATTTTTTCGGCTTTATGAAATTATGATACTGGATTCTCATTCGGCTAAACGGAAAACACACGTTTCTTTTCCCAATATTTAGTTTACGGGGGGCATTCTTAGATGTCTGATTAACTGGTTATCCATATGTACAGTAAAACATATGCTGTAATTGACAACAATAAAACGCTTTTAAGCGTTAAGGGTGGACTTTTTGGCTTAATTCACATTCTGTGTTTTATTCTATTATAGCCTTGGCGGCAAATTATTATCGCCTCTTCAGCTTGAATGCAAGGGGCCCTTTCTGGTAAATATCCTTATATCTGTTTATTGACTGGTCGTTCTGTAAAGTTTCAAATAAAACGTTTTTCTCTGTCTTCACGTGTAGCAGCAACTAAACGTAAAAACCCACACATAGAGCTCAATGGAACGACACCACGCCTGTGATTAAAATTGACTGGCAAATTAATCATTCAAATGAGCAATTTAAAAATGACCACGTGGGGAAACAAATTCTTATTAGACTTATTGACATGATTTACATGGCTTAATGCAATGCGTCGTTAATCGTAATGATCTTGTCCGACACCTTTACGTGATAAATCGTTTTCAATCTGCCATCTCCCTTTCTGTTTTAAAATGTTAAATAATTCGTGTTGGTGACAGTAGCCCTCTTAGTTTTTATGTATCAGACGCAATAGGCATAACTAGGAATAAAGCCATATTACACTGACGTGGCCAAACTAAGATCTAAATTAAATGTTTACAGTATGAATATCCAGTACCTGGTCTAAGTGCAAATAGGTCAAACCGGTGAAGTCCCGTCTTCGATTTACAGCTGTCTTCTTAAATAATATCAACATTTAATAAGTTAAAGAAAACCCCTGTTAAAAATATTAGAGATAACTACCCTCCGTAGCCCAGTTCGTGCAATGATGTACGCGCAATCTGTTATCTGCTGTCAACCGATGACACACTAAACTACGAGGCTCGAAGTGTGGACGAAATAAACTACCTACCTACCTAAAATACATAATTAATAAGTCATTTGTCACTTTAGCTACTAACATTTTCCCTGTGACGGTGCGGCATATGGGTGAAGCGAGCGCAAACTTTATTAAGCTTGAAATAAACCACACACAGCGGTTGCACAGCTTCGTGTGTAGCCAATATAAAATATAAAGCGTTCCATGTGATTATTAACGATCATAGCAGTTACAATGAAGCACTGCAACTATAATTCGTTTTGAACAAATAGCAGAAAACCCCTGAACACCACTAACGTTGTATCTTAACCGCATTTCAAAAGACCCATTTAATAAGGTGTACGTAAGTGTGTAGGTACACTCGTAAGAGTTATTTCAAGTTAATGATTGAACAAGTTTTGGAATAAATTACTTAGACTTAACAAGGTTAGGGATGGGGACAGAGTTCACGTCTTTGTGTTTTAGTTACATATTTTAAGTGTCAATTCTGAACATTGTTTTATACAGCATGTGCCGTAGAAGCACGTAACATAACACCCTTCTGTCCTTCCTTGAATTCTAGTAAGAACATGCAACCAACTCACCTTGTGCAAAAGCAGCTGTTACACAAATTAGCAACCATACCCCCAGATCCATGAATGACGCATTAGCCATAACCCAATAATTCCAAATGAGAAAATGGTTATGAAATAAAACTAATACCAGATGGTTATATCCAATGCAAGAAGTACACAACAATTCGTGCTTGTTTTATTTTAAAAAAGGGGGGAGAAATCCAAACGCAGGAGAGGTCTCGGTATGAGTTGGTATCAGTCGAGTGTTAAGTTCCGAGAAAGACGCACATTTTTGTTCATTTGTTTAGATCCAGTCCGGGAGGTCAAGTATCCAGCATAACTGCGAATTGAATTTCTTTTCCCCAAGTCGCCTTGCAATGCATTGGAAGTAACTGGGAGCCAACATTCCGCTCTCTGTGTTAAGAAAGATAAGAACGTGACGCTTTATATACGGCTAAGTTGATAAATAAGCTAAGCACCACCCGCTGGACAGCTGCAGTACCGCATGCATACGCACGTGCCCTTTTCGCTACGATAAGGCCATAAGATGACAGTTCTATTTAATTTTGTTATGGTGTTTTCATGCTTGTAATTAAGTCTCAGTTAAGGACGAGAGAGTGGATCAATGATTTTTATTCGAGGAGTTCTGAGCAACGAGAAAACAACAACAAAAAAAGTCTTCTGTTCAAGCGCATCGCTGTGAGCCGTAGCAAGGAAGGAGAGTGCATTCAAAGTAGAGTGAAGTTTCAGAAAAGTTGTAACACAGTCGTTCTGAAAGGTTACCGATAATTTGACGGTTTTTAGAGCAGGATCTTTTCTTTCTGATACATCGAATCATTCGTTCTGCGTGTCGACCCGAGGATAGCTCCTATTGAAAATATATTTTTTTTACTATACAGTAGGAAGCTGGAGACGTCCCTTTATGAACGCGTTTAGCAAATGTAGTCGGGGATGCAGTACTGTATGTTAAGTTTCAATCCTCACGGAAGGCAGGAGTTCAGGAGCGAGAAGACGATTTGGTGCAAGTAAAATATCGAGGTGTTGAAAATGGAATGCCTTTGATATTCAATATGGAAGCATGCGGGTTTTTTGTTGTTGAAGAAGTGTCGATAATAAGTACGACAAGCCGTTGCGAAAAAGAAAAATGTGAGATTCACCTTCGTTTTATATTTAAATCATTTTTCCATCATTACAACTATCGATACACCTTATACAGATTAACAAAACTTGTCTGTAAGTATTCTTCATTGACTAAAGACTTTTATTTTTGTAGCCTAGAAAACAACATCATTTAAAAAAGATATTTGTAACTATGTAGTACTTATACAGTACCTTGCTAGGGACCTAAGTATATTGCAGGCTTTGTTTGGGAGAAATATTGCTGTCTTTCTACCTAACAGGAAGACCAGGAGCATGAGTAATAGATAGGATGCCTGCATTATGAGTGGACATATGCATGTGTTTTGCAGCAAGGTTTGTTAGGATACTTCAAGAATGGCATATGTAGAAAAGTCTGGCCTTTATTGTCAGGTACTACACATCCTGGTGGGAAACAGAACTTGCTGTGTTAGTACCCTTCAAGACTCATAAGGCCATTTCATTGGAAAAATTGATGAAGCTTCTGTCTTCCAACATGACATAACACCTTGTGAAATATGTGTAAGTAACATACTTCAAATGAAATTAAGATTCATTTGCAGCCCTTTCATTGTTGGAAAGAAGATCCACCTGAAATCAGAGATGCTGTACATGTCAGGTAGCAATTTCAAGAGAGTCAGAGATATTCATTTTTGCACTGAAGCTAGTGCTGAGATTCTCATTATATAGTATTTTTTATTCATGTTTTTTGTGAAATCTTGAGGTCTAAGCTAGAGCTATTGGGATGTAACTAGTGAAATGTAAAGCTGAAAACGGTTTAGTTTAAGTGCTGCAAATTCACATGTACTTTACCTGTAACAGATTAACAGAGCATTAATACAGACTTAATATCCTGCAAGGAAATAATCTCTACAAGTGATTAATTGCATGGTTATTAACAAAAGTCAGTTCTTTCTCAGATTTGAATGCATTTATTTCTGGTTACTTGTGAGCCAATAACTTTATTAAGTCAAAATGAAATATGTACCCCATAAACTAAAATGTTAGCATAAAATCCACAATAAAGCCCAGTTTATCAGGCAGGAGATTACTCTGGACCACAGAGGTAAGCAGATTGAAAGTTTGCCTTTCCCTTTAGACAAGACTGTGATGTGCTCATTTGTGTTACTAGTTGGAGTGGAGCAAAATTATTTGCTAGGAGGACACAACAAATATCCAAGCTGGGGATCAGAACCCACAATACCCCAGCCAGGAATTACAATCTGTTATGAGTCAATGTCTTATTATAATTGCATTTTTTTCAACAGACCTGTCTGTGTCTCGCTTGAAAGGACATATCTTACATATATCCAAATGAGTATTGAGACCTCATTCTTATACACCTTTAAAAACAGTATTTTAGACAAATGTTGCTTTGTCCTAACTAAATAACACCTCCTAAAAGTAAACAGATACAATAAAATGTATGCAAAATCCTTGAATCTCAGACTTGTCTGTATACAAATTAAGATATACAGTGCATGTATTTCAAATTTCTTTACATGTGCCCATGTGTTTCCATTTCTGTACAAATGCAACGAAACATAAAAGACACAAAATAGTATTGGAATCACTAGCAGTTATTGCATTTTTAAAAGGAAAGGAACTATATTTGTAATATTAAGAAGGAATGTTATATATGCAAAATAAAATATGTATAACATTATATGCATATTTTATGTGTATTTGTGCATATTATATATGTAAAGTTTTCTCATTTATATGCTTATTTTACTGATTTTAATGTTTGATTTTTGCATTCATGTTATATATTCTATTCATATTTCACATAGAATGATAAATTATATATACTGTCCAAATTCGTTACATAAGTGCACAACCCACTTCCTCTGGGACTAACATAACATCAGGTTAAAGCCAACACACAGCAGGTATGCCTCGGGTGTAATACAGCAGCCTCATTGTTAATTTTCCTAAAATTAGAATACACCGGTAGGTGCTAATGTACATCACAGTACATGGGTTAGCTTCCTGCTTTAACAAGCCTCAGATGTTTCTTCCGGAATGAAGTGGTAGACACGGTGTTAAGTTCATTTGATACTGTCTTCAACATCAGGTCTTGTTTACTTTGCAGTGACAAAGATTAAATGGAATTGGGAGCTCCTAATTGGCCAGAAAACATTAAACTGGATAATCTATAAACGCAAGCCAAAATTTGAAGTCTCCATCTCTGGGGATTAGCTCTGTGTTGACAGAGACAGCCGTGAAAGAAATGTGTTCCCAGGATTTTGTCAAACCTCTGGAGTTTGGGTAGATCACCTCTGTTTTTGTTTCTTGTTTAAATTAAGTGCTACATTTGATTTTGTTTCTCCAACTTGTTTGTTTGCCCTTAAGCCAATCAAAACATGTCTGGCACTCTCTGAGACTCGATACCGTTGTTGCATTTTAATGAATACATAAACAAATATCCAGCAAAATTACTTCTCAGGTCCCTAATCCCTCCTGTACACCAAGTGCCCCCCTTCCATGCCATTTTACGGTCTCTGACAGGAAAATCAATTTGAAATGCAAGTGTTGGTTCGTTTTCATTTGAGTCCCTCCAGCTGCTTAATGCATCATTTAGACTGGGAAATTTTGAACGTTCTGCATTTCTGTTGAGAAATAGAAATATACTGGACTTTGTTATTAATCACATGTAAAAAAAGACCACTGAACTGAACTAAATTAAACTTGAGAATGGTTTGCCACAGAAAGCAAAGCCCCTTTCATTTTTTGTTCAGAAGTAAAATATTTTCTTATCCCCACATCAGAAACATTAAATCAAATCACTCAAAATAACTTCATGCAGAACAGTACAGTCTTGAGTGTGTAGTTATGTGACTGGAATCTGTGGCAAACTCCACCAGATGCAAAAGAATAAAAGTAGTTTCTTTTTCCATTCAGTCAATTTAATAAATCCTCTCTATTTGTTTCTAGGAAATTATCATAATCTCAAATCAGAAGAAAAAATATGTTTTGATGGTTTTGTAAGGAATAGATGGGGGAAGAATTATGCTGCTTATTCTGCCTCTAGTGGGTGAACAGAGAAATGCTTGTTATTTTTTTTTTCAAAAGGCCTTTTTATTTGAGAGAAAGTTTAATCTAGGATATTCTGCTAATCAGTCTGTCTGACTCTCCGTGGAGGATTTTGTGTTCTTCCAGATGTTTTTTTCTGTTCCAAAGTCAGAATTCCAGTGTGAAAGTCTGCTGTCTAAGTGAACATTTCCTGAAAAATTTTAAATTTCCTGTGGAAGGCTTTCCTGCCTTGCCTACCTTAAACTTGGTATGTTCCAGTGGCATTGAAACTGCCAGGTGAGAGGAGGGCACTTGTAGGAAAATGCATGAACACCAGAAGTATAAAATGGATCAAAAGACCAGGAGTCCCTTAACATGGCAGAGATATGAAGGGCATTTAAATTTGCATGAAGAAGAATAACCCATTTTACCAATCAGAAAATGCTTTTTACAGCTTGTTACAGTTTTAAGAAACAGAAGCTGTGTGGACCACTGTGTTCATTTACTTTGGTTTCTTACTGATTAGTGAAGGAATAAACCCAGAGAGTCTTAGATCACTAGAAAGTGTCCCATGTTTGTCTAATCATGCAAACTTCTAATATCCAGTCCCAGAGAGCAAGGTACTGTATCTGTCAGACAACATATAGAGTACACAGCATAGGATCCCTGGTAGTGTAAATAACTCAGAAAACATACACATTATACAGTAATTTAACATTATTTATAATTCTGTTGAAGATTTTAGATCAAAGATTAGTTATGAGAAAACATTATGTATGAAGGCATTTTAAAAATCAATGAAAATAAAAATTCATTGTTAGTCTGTTAGTTTTGGGATGCCCGGAAAGCTTTTGTGGTAAACAAAATCTCAATAATGTATCATCACTGAGGTGTCACCAGCTAATTAAAAACAGCATTTTGCAGCTCATTAGGGCCAAAGTTTCAGTGTTTCAGCTGTAGTAAAGCCTACATCTTGTTAACTCCATATTCATTTGTGATTGAATCTCCCAGACCTTTTCAAGTTTTATAAACTAGTTCATAAATGCACACATTCAGTCTTCCAGGGTGAATATGCAGCACGATTTCTAGGTTAAATCATTAAATAGAAATGTTCTGACTGCAGAATACAAGGGGACCTGCAGTTACCTTTTGCCCATTTGCATCAATAGTAGAAAAATGACAGATGCATGTTATAGAGTGCAAGTAAGAACTTGCCATTTTTGTGCAATTTATAGTACATTTCAGATCGAAATTTATCGAAGCATTGGGGGAATTTTCATTTAT